CACACACACACACACACACACACACACACACACACACACACATGCAGTGCTTTGGAAAAGTTCTCAGGAATCTTGCCACATCTCATCAGTGTTTCCACAACCAGTGATGAAGCAAGTTGAGAAAGAGTCTCCTACTTTGCTGTGAGCTAACGGTTACTGCAACACGTGGTGCCCCCCCCCAGCAATCCTGTCCTCACTGCAGGGGTAAATTTGTGTATTTGTGTTTGCGCAGTACTATATGTGTATCCTCACATGTGTGGGTTTTAAGTGTGAGAGAAATTTCAATTTTATTTATATCATGCTAAATCACAACAACAGTTGCCTCAAGGTGTTTTATATTGTAAGGTAAAGACCCTACAATAACACAGAGAAAACAGAGAAAACATATCATATGAGCCCCTATGAGTAAGCTTTTTGGTGACAGTGGGAAGGAGAAACTCCCTTTTAACAGGAAGAAACCTCCAGCAGAGCCAGGCTCAGGGAGGGACTGGCATCTGCCGCTACCGGTTGGAGGTGAGGGGAGAAAGATGGTACAAAGACGCGCAGTGGCAGAGTTCCAGAGATGACTAATAACTAATGATTGCAGAGAAGTGTATAAACGCATAGTGGGTGAGAAAGGTGGCTGAAAAAGAGAAACTCAATGCATCATGGGAATTCCCCAGCAGCCTAAACCTATTGCAGTATAACCAAGGGAGGATTAACGGTGACCTGATCCAGCCCTAAATATATGCTTTATCAAAGATGAAAGTTTTAAGCCTAATCTTAAAAGTAGAGATAGTGTCTGTCTCCCGAATTCAAACTGGAAGCTGGTTCTACAGAAGAGGGGCCTGAAAACTGAAGGCTCTCCCTCCCATTCTACTTTTAAATACTCTAGGAACAACAAGTAGGCCTGCAGTCTGGCAGTGCAGTACTGTGCTGGGGTGATGCAGTGCTATAAGGTCATTAAGATAAGATGGGGCCTTATTATTCAACACCTTGTATGCATGGAGAAGGATTTTAAATTCGATCTAGCATTTAACAGGCAGAGACATGCTGTTGCTTTCTAGTCCCTGTCAGTACTCTTGCTGCACCATTTTAGATTAACTGAAGGCCTTTTAGGAAGTTTTTACAACATCCTGATTATAACGAATTACAGTAGTCCCGCCTAGAACTAGTTTTTCAGCGTCAGTCTGAGACAGTATGTTTTCTAAAATAATCAGTAGTCAAGAGAATAAAATATTATATTATACATATTGCCAGTATTACAAATGAAATCTATATATGTGTAATTTAGCATGAATTGACATTGAAATCGTTGAGATTTAACAGAACTTTTACAGTCATTGGTGGTCAAAAGGCGGGTTCACTGTGACATCATAATTTTCAGCAGAAACACTTTTTTTCATTCACTTTTTGTCAGTGCCATAACTCAGGAAGAGAAGGGGAATATATTTCACCAAACTGCTGACACTAATTATTCGTGCACACCTACTAAAGTCTTCAGTGCAACTAATTATACGAGTCTGCCCTGACATTCTATTTACACTTTGAAAACCACTGAAATATACCTCTAGTAGTCTATAATAGTAGGGTGCAAGTACAGTAGGTAGGTAAGATGATATTTAAAGCATTAAAAACACATAAACCATTGTACAAATTACATATGCAGTCATACTGATGGCCGCTCCGCTTGTGCAGCTTTCCTTCTTTAATCTACTTTTCTTTTTTGTATTATATCTTTCTGAATCCTTATGTGATTTGTTACAGGGAAAGAAAAAGGGCAGAGCTTTTAGACATGCAGTAAAGGAAGCAGAACCATTTGCACAACAGATCCAGACCGACCGAAACTCCCCTAAGGTTTTGCCAACAGAGCTTATGAAGGGCCCCAGCACCTTGAAGACAGAAGTGTCTCCTCTGAAGAGCACAAAGAAAAATCACAAAGTGACTTCAAACAGCAAAGAGAACATCACCAAGGAGTCCAGCAACATCAAAACTTCAGAAAACAGGCAAGCTCAAAAGCAGCTCCCGCATTTTAAATCATCACAGCAAGATAAGAGGAAACCGTCAGAGCATAGCACAAAAACACAACAGACGCTGACAGATGCACAGGAGAGAGTGACTGAAGTGAAGCACAAGACGAGGAAAACTGAGGATTTGAGAGAAAGTAATAAACCGAATGAAGAGGATAACAGCTCTCTGAAGAAAGGCTTGACAAGGACCCCAAAAAAGGAGACAAAGAAATCATCATCTTTAGATCCGAAATCTCCTTCTATCAAGGTCAGTAAAGTGAATCAAGCAGCCAGTCTAGCATCCACAGAAAATGCCGTAAAGGAAAATGAAGCAACTCAGAGGGGAAGTGATGACGTCAAACCTGTTGAAGTGGCGAGTCAGGGGACACGGCGAGTCAAATCGACTCTAACAAAAGATCAGCACAAGGTTAAATCTGTACCAGGAGTGGATGCTAAATCGCCAGCAGCACAGGAAGAAAACACAACACCTTTTAAGGCTGAAACCAAGAAATCTGTCTCCAGAAAAACACCATTGCAAGTTAAGGGAAAATTGCAAGAGCTTAAACCAACACCAGTCAAGGATCAAAGTAAATGTGCAGAAAATCCCCTCATTGAAGGTGAAAGCAAAGAAAAGTGTGAGGAAAATGAGTTAAATTGTGTCAAAGACGCCACTCTGAAGATGAAAGGTGGAACTGTGGATGAGCAGAAATTGTCAAAAATAAAGGACAAAAAGACGGCAAAAACAAAACGAAGAGGAGGAGGCAAGGAAGAGGAAATCAGAGTTAAAGGTGAGGGGGATGTTGACTCTGAGAATAAGATGAAGGCTAAACCAAAGAGTGAAGCTTCCAGCCTGCCGTCATCTCAGCAGGATACACCTACAGAAGTGAGAGGTAACCCAATTTCCCCTCAAAGCCCAGAAGTGGATTCTCCTAGAGCTGCAAAACCCCTGCAAGGCGCTAAGCTTGTTGTTATGGATTCCCGTGTTTCTGAAACAGATGAAGAGGACACTCGGGGCAAGAATGGGGGAAAAACAAATTGGGGAGAAATTCTCAGTAATTCAGCGTCGCTTCTTCCAGTTGCTGGGATTGCAGGTGCAGCTATTGAGGTCCTTCGTGAGGCAGTGACAAGTGTGCAGTCTGACAGTGACAAAGCCACCTCGACACCCTCTAAAACGCTCAGTAAAGTCAGACAATTCACGAAGCAAAGTGCAGTTACGGAGCCGTCCTTGTGCTCCACATTGTCACATTTTTCTTCCTCGAATGAAACGGAGGATGGCCTGAAGACAGATGCTCAAGCTGGTGTTCCATCGGAATCTGTAAATGAATCCCAAGAAGTAGAAAATGATGACAGCAGTCGTGATCCATCAGAGGGGGAGGCAGTGAAAGGGGGCCTGTCTGAGCAGATCAGGGGTGAACACATGGAAGATTCACAAAAAGAAGTGGAGGAGAAATCCGACAAGGCATCTGGAGAGGATGAAGATTCTGAGGATGGGGGAAAGAATGAAGATGAAGATGTCGAGAGTGGAAGTGACAGTGAAGATAAAAGGGAAGAATGTGAGAGTAGTAGTGACAAAGAAACAGAAGAGGAGAGCAATACGGGAGAGGGAGAGGAAGATAATGTATCTGAGGAAGAAGAGGGTGACGAGAAAACAAGCAGGAGTGATGAAGATGAAGGGAGTGATAAAACTAATGCTGCTGAAACTGAAGGAGAGGAAGAAAGCAGTAAGAAGACAAGTGACGGATTGAGTGACTCTGATATGAGTGAAGGAGCTGAGGAGGAAGAGGAGGAAGGTGAAAATGAAGAGTCCAGTGATGAAGAGAGTAAAGAGGATAAAGAGGAAGAGAGCAAGATGAGTGAGGATGAAGAGAAGAAAAGCGGTGATGAATCAGAGAGCGATGAGAGCACGAACCGAGAGTCAGAGGGGGAGGAGGACAGAGAGGAAGGAGACACTGCAGAATCTGCCAAAACTGAAGAAGAAGAAGAAAATGATGAAGATGAAGAGGGCGAAACTGAGGAACAAAATGATGCCTCCACAGAAAATGAGGATGAGGAGAAGGACTCTGTTGAAGATGAAGAGGCAGATAAGAGTGAAGGAGAGCAAGACAGTGATAAGGGAGAGGAGGAAGAAGATAGCGAGGCTGATGAAGAGGAACTCCAAGATGAAAAAAGTGATGAAGAAGAAGAGGAAGAAGGAGGTGAGGAAAGGGAAGAAAGTGAGTCCGTAGGTGATGGGGAAGCTGAGACAGAAGATGGAGAGGATGAGGACAAAGAAGAGAGTGAGGAGGAGGAAGAGTCTGCAGAAGAGGAAGAGGAAGAAGAGGAGGAGGATACAGGGGACGAAGACATAGAAGAAGAGGAAGAGAAGGAGGATACAGGGGATGATGAAGAAGAAGAAGCTGAGGAAGAGAATGAAAGTGAGGAAGAGGAGAAACCAAAAGGAAAAAATAAAAGCATGGAGCCTGCTAAAAAAAATCTGTTAGAGAGTGATGAAGGGGAGGAGGAGGAGGAGGAGGGGGAGGGGGAAGGTGAGGAGGAAGGGGAAGAAGAGGAAGAACAGCAAAAACAGACAAGGCTAAGAGGAAAAAGGAAAGACATGAAAGGTAATGATGAGGAAACTGATGATGAAGATGAGGATAGTGAGGAAGAGGGTGATGAAGAAGAAAGGGATGAAGAGAATAAGGAAAAGGGAAATGAGAACCAGGAGGAGGAGGAGGCAGAAGAAGAGGGAATTGAGGAAGAGGAAGAAGGAGATGAAAATGAAGAAGAAGAGGAGGAGAATGAGGAAGAGGAGGACCAAGCAAAATTAGCAAAGAAAAAAAAAGAGAAGCGACAGAAACCGCCACCAGACCGAAGCAGCAAACAGAAAGAAGCACCCAAACCAGCACCGAGGACCAGGCAGAGAGCTGCAGGGGGGGCGAAAGCTGAGGACTCTCAGCAGTTCTGGAACGATGTCCTGCCTCAATACCTAGACCTGCAGTGACCACGCCCACGGTGAAGCCACACCCACAGAAATCTCAGCTAAACACGAGCTTCGTCTGAGTTATTCTTTATGCTCTGAAAACACATAACAAGTGTGTCTAAGCACTTTTCAAAAACCCTTACACTGTCCAAGGCAGTCAAGACATTTATACTGCAATCTAAGTTTTGTCAAGAACTATTTTCATGTGCGTATTGATATCCATGTGGTGCTCTGTGTAGAACAACACTAAAGTGGTGTATTTGGCACTACCTTTGTCAGGATCCTGGGTCTCCTGATCCAGCGTTTTTAGTTCTTTGTGATTTTTGTATTTTGTACTTGTGTGATTTATTCTATGGTTTCTAGTTTTGATCCCCTGCCCTTCATGTTTCTCTGTGCCCGCTCTGTTCCGTGTAAGTCTCTGTATTTCTTAGTTGCTGTCTCCACCGTGTCAACTTCGCGTCTCCGTGTTATACTTCCTGTTTTACTTTGAAGGTCTGTGTCTTATGTGAATGTGTTCTGCTTTGCTTCCTTGTCTCGTCAGTTCTGATTTCTCCCAGCTGTGCCCTCCTTCTGTGTCTCATTCCCCTCGTTACTTCCCAGTGTATTTAAACCCTGTGTTTCTCTGAGTCAGTGTCGTGTTGTCCCTCAAGCTGTGTGTTTCCTCATGTTCCTCTCTGTAAATTGTAGTTCATATTTTCCCCAGTTTAGTTTTGTATGACTTCCCCTGCCAGCAAATAAAGCTGAGTTCTTTGTGTTTAAACCTTGTACCTGAGCGCCTGCATTTTGGGTCTGGCTCCTGCCTTCCACACAGCGCTTCTTGACAACCTTAGCTTAAACCTTAGCTTGAGGGCACTGAAGCCAAAATGTGAACACATAGACTTGACATGACTTAACTGTTTTGCGAATTTGCTTATTTTGCACATGAGTGACATTGATATTTATAAAGAAAACACACTGAGAATGACATACAATAATAATAATGATATGGAGGTACGACACACTAGGTTCCAAAGAAGCTCAATAGCTGCAGCTGTTGAAACAAATGAACGTTTAAGATAACATGATTATGTTCAATGGACACATATATTTCCAGGTTTCAGTGTATCTAATTACGCTGCGATACTCACGAGTCACTTGGATGGATGTATAGCTAACAAACTGAGAGCAAATGTACCTAAAGTAACTGGTGATGGTATGTTCCTATATTGTCTTAACCCTAATCAGAGTGTTTATGTATTTATTATAGAGCCTTGAATTGAATACTGTATAATTTTCTAATGTATATCTAGGCTCCAGTCTTCCACCTGTTCTGATGAATGTATATAAAATACTGAAAACAGCTTTTTTATGAGTCAGTTATTTCAGAATATTTCATATTTGTCAAAACAAGTCCACATATTACGTTTGCAGCGAAAAAGTGTACAATGAAGTACTGAAACATGTCACACAGAAATAGGAGAAAACTTGTGTTGATCACAGTGTAGTTAATAGAAAAAGATAATTGATAATAGAGAAAGCATTTTGATGTGTGAGTGTTGTTTTTAAGACAAAAACATCATTCAGTTGGGCTTAAGTTAAATATGCACACATATTTCTGTTTTAAGGCTCTTCAGACATGCTCCACTACATCAACCAGCTGTGTCTGTTATCTGATGCTGAACAGAGTTTTTACAGTGGGTTTTTCAGAGCACCTTCATTAGAAACTGCTGCCTGCTGCAGATTAAAATGAGTAATTTGTGGCCACTCAGCTTAGAATAATAAGACAAATGTTATTGTTAAGATAGGACAGCATTTGAGTGACAATAATTATTTTTTTAATGCACATGTTTTTCTTCTTTGGGAAAAACATTCTGCAAAAATTACCCACAAGTCTGCTTACAGTGCTTACAAGGAGTTTCAGATGTTAGAAAAGGTATGCTTGGAGGAGTAAAGGTGAGGCTTTCAAACCTAAGAACAGCTGTCAAGCATGGTGGCAGGTGATAGTAGCATACTCTGGGCTGTTAAAACGGCTTTTTACTTTTTCCTCGGGAGTGCAGGTCTGCCTCAGGGCAGAGTCAAAGACCTCAATTCTTCTCCTCACACTTGGACAGCAGCCCCACATTAAGTGGGCGTGTGCAGCACACGTTGCCAGATTGTCTTCACCTCCATGCCCCGATCAGTAATAATCTGTTCTCTCTGTTCCCTCCTGCTGTCAGCTGAACCCCGTTAATTGGTCTCCAGTCTCCTGCCTTTTGTCAGTGGAGCAAGTCCAAATGTTTTCTCAAAACCCGTAATCAAGCCCTACAAACCGAACCCCTAAAGCACCCTGGGGGATAATTAACTACACATTACTGGGTTGTATGTATACTTTTAACCAATCAATTTAAACTTGCAGCTCAAAGAAATCATCAAAAGCCCAAATTTTATCAGGATGCATAAAAATTATGTAGAAATCTTTCTTATTTATTTGTAATAATTCACTGATTTAAATTTTACATTCAGCATATGGCTCAAGTTCAGTTATTCTTTGCTACCTTGATGTTGACTAAATTCCTGCAACACTACTTTGTGTTTACACTAGGCACAATTCTTGTCTTGAGCTGGATCAGAAAGCAGCTCTTGCCTGTAAACAACAGTTAAACTCATCGGACTAAATCCAGAGACGGTCCTAAGACAAAATTACTGGTGGTAACCAGCACAACAAAGTGTTAAACGAATCAACCAAAGCCAAGACGGTCACCTGAACCCACATATAATTACTGCTCTGGAGATCCTCTCACAGTCGTTTCACTGCACGCCCCTCTTTCCTGTTCCCTGTCGAGACAAGGAGAGTTTTGACACCTTCATGTGTGGACTCGCTCTGCTGCACTACACACTACACAGGGTTTCTATCCAAACCTCATGCTTGTCTTAGACAGAAAATTAAACACCAATTAGTCCTGCAGGAGCTCTGTACTCTCTCAGCTTTTCTGCAGTGCGTGCATGTACACGTGTTATGAAACAGAGTAATCATTAGCTCTAGAAGACTGTCAAGTAAACATCAAGTCAGATCTTGCAAAAAACATACTACAGAAACAGCTTCTGTTTCAGCTATAGGAGACAAAACACTAAAGACAGATCATGATGGTTACTATAGAACATCTCATCAGAGTCAGAGTATTGTTGCTAGGAAACAACTTGGATTCAGCTCGACTTCTTATAAAATGTTCATCATTAGGAAACTGAAACAGGGAGCAAACTTGTGCCAAAGTTTCCATGTTGCACTGTTTCTGCAGCTCTCCAGTGGTGATGAAAGAGCAGAGCGGCTCAGCATAAAGGTTAATATAATTTAAACCCTATCAGGTAAACAGAGCTGGTTCACACCAGACATTTTGACTTGTGAAACACAAACACAATGAACGGCTAACATTACTAAGTGCTGAGCTGTGCTGCTGTAAGCAGCCATTGTTTATGTGATATTATTTTCAGCTGTTATGACAGAATGGATGTGACTTATTAAGGGGACGAGAAAGAAACAAGAGCTCTCTGCGGGGGAATATTTCAGCTTCCAAAAGGGAACAGAGCAGAGAAAACGGCCACAACAATACACATTGTAAACACTCGTTTACAATCATAAATGATTTCATTAACACTCAACTTTACAAATATACAGAAGTTCAGACAAAATTTGTAACGGTTTACTAACTACAACCTTTTAATGTTTATTTTACTTTACCTTTACTTTTACTGAATTATTTTATATTCTGGTGAAACATGCAATGCTTTGAACATAAACTTAAAGCAAACAAACAAAAATCAAAAGTCCTGCCTTCGCTAAACTAAGAGTACCAAATATTATACTATTCTACATGCAAACAAGATCATAAATAAAAGTGTCGGCAGTGCGGTATGTGCATGCGTAATTTTATATCTGTCACATTTAGGTTCGTTAAGTGTTTGGATGATGCACATTGTTCTTGTTAATAGTTGAATAAAGTCTAGAATCCATTGAGATGTTCTGCTTGACCTTCCTTGCTTTTCTGCTTGGCCTTGAGAAACTCCTGGGTTGCCTTTGCAGCCATGCGATAACACTGCCTCCACTGTGTTTGACAGATGCTTTGGATGATGAGCAGTCTCTCTCCTCCTCCATACTTGTCTCTGCTCATCATTCTGCTACAAGTTCATCAGAACTGTGCAGGCGCCTTTAAATGCTTGCTGCCAAAGTCTAACCTAGCCCCATATTCATTAGGGTAACCAGCTGTCTGCACCTTGTTGTAAAATCTTCTGTGTTTACATTCATGAACTCTTGATTGTAGACTTTTAAAATGATGTGTTTGCAGAGTCATAAGTACAAAAGCTTTGTGGCTCCAGTTATATCTAATTTTATAAAATACTATTCAGTGGTTCACTCTGTAAATTAACCATAAATATTTTCTACTTGCAGTTTTAGATCAGTGATAGAAAAGGCATTCAGAGGCTTAATATCCTAATAATTCAATTCAGATTTACTTATATTGGACTAAATTACAACAACATTTCCCTGAAGGTGCTTTATATAGTAAGATAAATCCTACAATATTAGAAAGAACCCCTAACAATCACACGACTCAAGCACTTTGGCAACAGTGGGAAGGAAAAAATCCTTTTTAACAGGAAGAAACCTCATAAAGAACCAAGCTCAGGGAGGGGCAGCCATCTGCTGCAATTGGTTGGTGGTAAGAGGAGGGGAAAGAAAAGAGAGCAGAAGGAGATAGGACAAAAAATAAAGTGTCATATCTCAGATTTTTTTTTTTTAATTCTTGGACTCTAAGGTTGCTCTGTGATTCACAGCTCAAAATTATAATTTTATGTCTAATACTACTACCATCCACTGTCTTAAAGAAGCTATTTTAGCTTATTTCCCTCTCTCTTTAAGGCAAGTTGCTTCTGATTGGTTACCCCTTGCAAACAGCAGGTAGGTGGGGATTGTGTGCTCACAGTCAGGCGTGTATGCTTGAGATGACCATATTAGGGATATCCGCTCTCACTGACGTCACACAGAGTTAAAAGTGTAAAAAAACGCGTTTGGCCAGTCTGAAGCCTGAACTCTTGGCTCACAGAGATTACTGACCTCATTATTTTGAAGTTTGGACATGTTTGTAAAATAAAATTAAATATACCCAAGTGTGCATAAAAGCCCCCTTCCATTTCTCACATTAAATGTGATAGATTAAAGAACTCACACTCTAATAAAAGCTTGTTTGATGATGTGTGTGAAAAACACTGCTGCGAGGCTACTTTTATCTTCATTTTAAATCAACTTGCTAAAAAAAGGCAAGAAAGGCTCTGAGTTTTCTGAAGATTTATGATTTTTTCTGGAAAAACTTTAAAAAGATTCACTGGAATTACAAACTGGTTGTACAACTGGCTGATACTTGTCACTTTTGAAAAGTGTCCATCTGATTTTAAACTAGGCTGAAATCTAAAATCTGTTAAAGATGTTGAAACTCTGTACAAAGTGCTATTGCAACACACTCTGAAACTCTCTCCCACTGAGCCGAGTTCTGTGGTCTCTTTTAAAAAGGAGCTGAAAATGTTGCTTGCAGG